GTTTCTGTAGACTAGTGACTAAACGATGTACAAATTTATTTTTTACTTAACTAATATATGTTCTTTCCGTGTATAATGTAATTTTACCATTAAGCGAAAGAGATGATTCCATTTTACGCATCGCGATCTAGGGAGAAAAAGCACCTTCGATTTATAATGGCATAAAAGGAAAAATCACAATACCGTAACAAACTTCCATTTATTTCCTTAAAATGTCTGGCAGATCTTATTTCCATGGGAAAACCAGTTGCAGACCCAGAACAAGCTAATTCAGAGAATTCGTGTCCCCCGCTTAGGGAAAAAGTCGGCTCCCCCTGACTGAATTTGTAGAGTTATTAAATGTATACATGTATACTGAAGGAAATAAAATACATGTATGTCAATATACATATAAAGATTTGATTGCTTATTCTTTATTATGTGTATAGAAGATTTTTTTTATATGGAATATTTATCACACTGAATGATGACTTTATAACCTCATAAATTTTTCATTTCACATGCTGAATACTATCATTTAGTAAAAAAAAAAAGTATTTAAAAAAAAAAAAAAAAAAAAAAAAAAATGGTACGACCGAGATTCGATCCCGGGACCTCTCACATTTGAAGCGAGAGACATAACCACTAGACCATGGAGTCGCTTTACATGGGGTGAAGTATATGCAGAACTGAAGTCACATACATGTATATATTCATGTTTTCATGTTTGGTATTCTCAAAATTTTACACAATCCATGGTGTTTGATTTATTTAGCCTTTATTAAACAGTTCTAATAGATGTAATAAGAACATAAAGTCCGCCGAGAACCTGTTTTATACGCAATAACTCTCCTCATGCCCCTGCGCTAAAAATAGCGACATGTAATACTATAAATACTAATAAAACAAACGGGGCGGGGCACTTTGAGAGGGGCGAGAGACGTCCTAGGGTGTTTTGGTATAAAATTACATTGCATAAGCTCAAAATCTTCTTCAAATATCCCCCGGAAATGATAGTGTTACACACAGACAGAATGTATAAATTTACGACCTTGAACTTTGACCTCTTGACCTCAAAATCAATAGGGGTCTTCTTTAGGCCACAGGGAGTTGTTATGTAAAATTTCATTGCAATAGCTCAAATGGTTCTAGAGATATCGTGTGGAAACGAAAGTGTTTTAACAGACAGAATTTGCTTATTTATGACCTTGACCTTTGACTTTTTGACCTCAAAATCAATAGGGGTCTTCTTTAGTCCATAGGGAGTTGCTATACTAAATTTCATTGCAAAAGCTCAAAGGGTTCTCGAGATATCGTGTGGAAACGAAAGCGTTACAGACAGACAGAAAGACGGACGGACGGACGGACGGACGGACAGACGGACGGACGGACGGACGGACGGACGGACAAACCCAAATTAATATCCCCCACTTTTCAAGCGGGGGACAATAAGGCAATTGTGATTAAATCAGAAATGCATAACAGCCACGCAAAACAAACAAGCTAATTCAGAGAATTCGTGTCCCCCGCTTAGGGAAAAAGTCGGCTCCCCCTGACTGAATTTGTAGAGTTATTAAATGTATACATGTATACTGAAGGAAATAAAATACATGTATGTCAATATACATATAAAGATTTGATTGCTTATTCTTTATTATGTGTATAGAAGATTTTTTTTATATGGAATATTTATCACACTGAATGATGACTTTATAACCTCATAAATTTTTCATTTCACATGCTGAATACTATCATTTAGTAAAAAAAAAAAGTATTTAAAAAAAAAAAAAAAAAAAAAAAAATGGTACGACCGAGATTCGATCCCGGGACCTCTCACATTTGAAGCGAGAGACATAACCACTAGACCATGGAGTCGCTTTACATGGGGTGAAGTATATGCAGAACTGAAGTCACATACATGTATATATTCATGTTTTCATGTTTGGTATTCTCAAAATTTTACACAATCCATGGTGTTTGATTTATTTAGCCTTTATTAAACAGTTCTAATAGATGTAATAAGAACATAAAGTCCGCCGAGAACCTGTTTTATACGCAATAACTCTCCTCATGCCCCTGCGCTAAAAATAGCGACATGTAATACTATAAATACTAATAAAACAAACGGGGCGGGGCACTTTGAGAGGGGCGAGAGACGTCCTAGGGTGTTTTGGTATAAAATTACATTGCATAAGCTCAAAATCTTCTTCAAATATCCCCCGGAAAATGATAGTGTTACACACAGACAGAATGTATAAATTTACGACCTTGAACTTTGACCTTTTGACCTCAAAATCAATAGGGGTCTTCTTTAGGCCACAGGGAGTTGTTATGTAAAATTTCATTGCAATAGCTCAAATGGTTCTAGAGATATCGTGTGGAAACGAAAGTGTTTTAACAGACAGAATTTGCTTATTTATGACCTTGACCTTTGACTTTTTGACCTCAAAATCAATAGGGGTCTTCTTTAGTCCATAGGGAGTTGCTATACTAAATTTCATTGCAAAAGCTCAAAGGGTTCTCGAGATATCGTGTGGAAACGAAAGCGTTACAGACAGACAGAAAGACGGACGGACGGACGGACGGACAGACGGACGGACCCACGAAATGCAGGTTATGTGATTGACAAATTTATGTGACTTTTTCCAAATTTATGTGACTTTTTCCAAAAAAATTATGTGGCGCAAAACATGATACATGGGGTAAGGGAGGTAAATCTCAAAACCTTTTGACGGACGTCCATATACGGACAATATTGTCCGTATTTTTTTATGTGACACTTCTTTAGAGTGATTTTTAAGTCACATAACACTCATTTCTGCTAAAAAAAATCAAATTTGTATGTGACAGTCACATAAAACAAAAGAGTCACATAAATCTTAAATGGGCACAAAAACTGTCACTTAACCATTATTTCGTGAGAACGGACGGACGGACGGACGGACAAACCCAAATTAATATCCCCCACTTTTCAAGCGGGGGACAATAAGGCAATTGTGATTAAATCAGAAATGCATAACAGCCACACAAAACAAACAAGCTAATTCAGAGAATTCGTGTCCCCCGCTTAGGGAAAAAGTCGGCTCCCCCTGACTGAATTTGTAGAATTATTAAATGTATACATGTATACTGAAGCAAATAAAATACATGTATGTCAATATGCATATAAAGATTTGATTGCTTATTCTTTATTATGTGTATAGAAGATTTTTTTTATATGGAATATTTATCACACTGTAATGATGATTTTATAACCTCATAAATTTTTCATTTCACATGCTGAATACTATCATTTAGTTAAAAAAAAAAAGGTATTTAAAAAAAAAAAAAAGGAAAGGAAAGATCGAGAATCGATCCCGGGACCCCTCACATTTGAAGCGAGAGACATAACCACTACACCACGGTGTCGCTTTACAAGGAATGAAGTATATGCAGAACTGAAGTCACATACTTGTATATATTCATGTTTTCATGTTCGGCATTCTCAAAATTTTACACAATCCATGGTGATTGATTTATTTAGCCTTTATTAAACAGTTCTAATAGATGTAATAAGAACATAAAGTCCGCTGAGAACCTGTTTTATACGCAGTAACTCTCCTCATGCCCCTGCGCTGAAAATAGCGACAAGTAATACTATAAATACTAATAAAACAAACGGGGCGGGGCACTTTGAGAGGGGCGAGAGACGTCCTAGGGAGTTTTGGTATAAAATTACATTGCATAAGCTCAAAATCTTCTTGAAATATCGCCCGGAAATGATAGTGTTACACACAGACAGAATGTATAAATTTACGACCTTGAACTTTGACCTTTTGACCTCAAAATCAATAGGGGTCTTCATTAGGCCACAGGGAGTTGTTATGTAAAATTTCATTGCAATAGCTGAAATGGTTCCAGAGATATCGTGTGGAAACGAAAGTGTTTTAACAGACAGAATTTGCTTATTTATGACCTTGACCTTTGACCTTTTGACCTCAAAATCAATAGGGGTCTTCTTTAGTGCATAGGGAGTTGCTATGCTAAATTTCATTGCAAAAGCTCAAAGGGTTCTCGAGATATCGTGTGGAAACGAAAGCGTTACAGACAGACAGAAAGACGGACGGACGGACGGACAAACCCAAATTAATATCCCCCACTTTTCAAGCGGGGGACAAAAAAAAATTATTATTAGTCATGTTAGTTTCTGCAATAGCTATTTCTTAACTTGGGAATGGACTTATTCAAATACTTTAAACAAGGCACTCATCCAGAAAATGTCATTCAAATTGAGCATCTGAAGCAAGTTTGAGAATGTTTATCCCTTGACGCAACATCCTTGCAAGATTGGTTGATACTATATGTATATATTTTTTTGGTAATGGACCCGCTCCGACAAAAAAATAGCCTGGTCCTTGATCTGGAAACTGTAGGCCAGATGTAACATCCATATCAAGTCCATCGGTGTGCTCCCTAAGATGTTTCATACATGCAAGTTTGATCAATTTTGGCTGTGTGTTTAAAACGAACCCGCTCCTCAAACCTTTATGGTTTGTACAGAGTACATATAAAGAAAACAAAAAATGAAATGAAAAAAAGTAATCAAGTATCAGCCAGAGATTCGTTTTTATTAAATTAAATTAGAAGTAAATTAACCGAGTTAATTTTGATTAGCCGATTACATAACACGTTTTTTGTTCATTGATTGAGAAGTCGCTGTGTAAGGTCTTCCCCATTCCTATATGTTTCTCTCCGGTGTTCTTCATTGTCTGATATCTCGTCAGTCGTATGTAAACCTTTGAACATTTTCTACTCTGAAACGATTACATAAATTTCATTTCCAAGTAGCTTTTTTCAAATATAAATCAAAGATATTTTGATTTACTTGAAGCGTCTATCAATTTCTTTGAGTAAAAAATTCCTCAATATTTCATCTCCAGATAACATTTCAAATGTATAAAAATTATATCTCATCAAGGTTTCTTGTGTTACACAACATAGTGTATTAAAACAGAGAGCAAATATTTTTTGTAGAAATTATCCCAATCTTTTCCGATTCATTTCCTCGATGTAGAAATTGTGGTTAATTGTGTGTACGATCAATTTCACGCCAGTGTATCAATATAAAGACAATATGTGATTATCATATTACCAGCATCCCAACCAGCTGTTTAACCAATAAAATTGAACGAACAAATAAAGTATAAAAATGTCACAGCACATTTTCTCGGTAACGACAAAATGCATTCTTGACTGCATGGACTAACATGCATACCGAATAAATAGAATATTTATATGTCCCGTACGTGCAGTACTTGCAATAACTATGAGCAAGAAGCCGAATTTGATCAACCTTTTGTCGGAGAGGTTGAGGCCTGGTCTACTAGATGTGGAGAGGAAGTATTTAGAGTCCTGTGAATTAGGTGACGAGGATTTAGTCCGAAATCTGTTAAATTCTGGGACAGTTTCTCCAGATCTAGAGGACACTCAAGGAAGAACAGCCCTAGACCTCGCCATAGCAAGTGGTCATGTTTCTTTGGTGGAATTCCTTTCAGGTAAAGTGGGACCTAAGGTCATCCACCAGGGATTGCTTTGCGCAGTCGAAAATGATCGAGAAGAGATCTGCCAAATTTTGCTGGAAAATTCCATTTATCAGTATTCATTGCAATCAAAAGAAAATGGAAACGAGTATTCTTCCATCGAAGGAATCACAAACCCAAATAGCGACAAAATGTCGGAAATATTTGATGACGATTTATCAACGAGGTCCAAACTTACACAGTATTCTGAGATATCAGTTAATAAAATGCTGAAGGAGGCACTCATTAAAGCAGCAATCAGAAACAACTTTCAAATTGTCCAAATGATAATGATGAAGGGTGCGTCCGTGGACATTCCTCATGATTATTTTTGTTCCTGCCATTCGTGCATTGATGAACAGAGAAGAGACTACATGGTGTTCTGCAACAGACGACTAGACACTTTTCGCGCGCTCGCCAGTCCCGCGTATATTTCCTTGACCGAGGAAGATCCTGTTATGGCATCCTTCTACCTCAGCAAAAAGTTCAAACAGCTTCAGGTCATGGAAACTGAATACAAGGTATTGACATTTATCGAAGAAATGGTTCAAATTAATGAAATAAGTTTATCAGCTCTTGAGCTCTATAATAAAGAAGAAGCAAATGACTTTTTAGGTCACCTGAGTAAACTCAGGTGACCTATTGCTATCCGTTTTCGTCCGTCATCGTCCGTCGTGTGTCGTGTGTTGTGTGTCGTGTGTCGTGTGTTAACATTTGAACATTTTTAGCTTCTTCTCTGCAACCACTGAACCAATTTCAACCAAATTTGGCACAAAGCATCTATGGGTGAAGGGGAACGAAAATTGTGAATTTCATGATCCCTGCCCCCCTGGGGCCTGAGGGGTGGGGCCAAAACCACTAAAATTAATGCAATCTTTAAAAATCTTCTTCTTTACTCCTGGACATCAAGCAGTCAAACTATTTGCATGATTGTAATCAGCATTGAGTCCTCTACCAAAATTGTGAAATTCATGGCCCTGGGGTCAGGGGTTTTAGTGCTAGGGCGGGGCTAAATAAGTATATAGTGAAAATGCATTATTTCTTTGAAAATCTTCTTCTCTGCTTCTGGGTATTAAATAAACCAACTAAGTACATAGTTATGATGAGCAAGAGTGCCTCTACCAAAATTGTGAATTTTATGGCCCCAGGGTCAGGGGTTCTGGTGTTAGGGTGGGGCTCTATTGATTATATAGTAAAAATACATGATTTCTTTGAAAATCTTCTTCTCTGCCCCTGGGTATTAAATAAACCAAGTAAGTAAATAATTATGATGAGCAAGAGTGCCTCTACGAAAATTGTGAATTTTATGGCCCCAGGGTCAAGGGTTCTGGTGTTGGGGGGGGGGGGCTCTATTGATTATATAGTGAAATTACATGAATTCTTTGAAAATCTTCTTCTCTGCTCCTAGGTATTAAATAAACTAACTAAGTGCATAGTTATGATGAGCAAGAGTGCCTCTACAAAAATTGTGAATTTTATGGCCCCAGCATCAATGGTTCTGGTGGGGGGGGGCGGGGCTCTATTGATTATATAGTGAAATTACATGAATTCTTTGAAAATCTTCTTCTCTGCTCCTAGGTATTAAATAAACTAACTAAGTGCATAGTTATGATGAGCAAGAGTGCCTCTACAAAAATTGTGAATTTTATGGCCCCAGCATCAATGGTTCTGGTGGGGGGGGGGGGACTTTATTGTTTATAAAGTGAAAATACATGAATTCTTTGAAAATCTTCTTCTCTGCTCCTAGGTATTAAATAAACTAACTAAGTACATAGTTATGATAAGCAAGTGTTCCTCAACCAAGATTGTGAATTTTATGGCCCCAGGGTCAAGGGTTCTGGTGTGTGTGTGGGGGGGGGGGGGCTCTATTGATTATATAGTGAAAATATGTGAATTCCTTGAAAATCTTCTTCTCTGCTCCTAGGTATTATATAAACTAACTAAGTGCATAGTTATGATGAGCAAGTGTGCCTCAACCAAAATTGTGAATTTAATGGCCCTATCATCAAGGGTTCTGGTGTTGGGGGGGGGCTCTATTGATTATATAGTGAAATTACATGAATTCTTTGAAAATCTTCTTCTCTGCTCCTAGGTATTAAATAAATTAACTAAGTGCATAGTGATGATGAGCAAGAGTGCCTCAACCAAAATTGTGAATTTTATGGCCCCAGGGTCAAGGGTTATGGTGTTGGGGGGGGGCTCTATTGATCATATGGTGAAAATACATGAATTCTTTGAAAATCTTCTTCTCTGCTCCTAGGTATTAAATAAACTAACTAAGTGCATAGTTATGATGAGCAAGAGTGCCTCTACAAAAATTGTGAATTTTATGGCCCCGGCGTCAATGGTTCTGGTGGGGGGGGGGGGGCTTTATTGATTATATAGAGAAAACGCTGAATTTGTTTGAAAATCTTCTTCTGTGCTCCTGGGTATTAAATAATCTAATTAAAGACATAATTATGATGAGAAAGAATGCCTTTGCAAAATTGTGAATTTAATGGCCCCAGGGTCTGGGGTTCTGGTGTTAGGGTGGGGCTCTATTGATTATATAGTGAAAATACATTGTACATTAAATCTTTGAAAATTTTCTTCTCTGTCTCTGGGTATGAAGCAGATGAACTACCTATATAGTTATGATGAACAAGGGCCCTAATCTTGCAGAATTGTGAATTTCAAGGCCCCAGGGTCAGGGGTGGGGGGGTGGGGGGCTCTACTTATATACTGAAAATGAATTAATTGTTTGAAATCTGGTCCTTTGTATTTATAAAACATTTATTTACTTTTTGATAGGCAATTTTAAGGGTGCCTTTTAAAAATTTGTGCAACCTAGGGTCAGGGGTTTATGTGAGAGTGTTAGGGGCACTACTGATTATTGATTAATATTACTGATTAGTTGGAGTGCATTTTTGTTCCCCTACCCTGCTTATGGGTATTCAGTAACCAAGCTAAGCAACTGCTAAGTTTATTGTTATGATGATCAATGGTGCCCTTTCAAAATTGTGAATGCCATATAGCATCTGGCTTAAAACATGAATCAAATTCAATACACTGTAACTGGAAAGTTGTTGCATAATGCTCAGGTGACCTATAAGGCCCGTGGGCCTCTTGTATGATTTATGAAATTACTTTTCCTCTTCATGATCGTAGCATTTAAATTGTTGACATATTATAGACACCTGTTATAATAGTTTATATTTTTACTGCAACATTACTTTTTCATTGATGATCATTCATCTGTTTTCTTGGTGCAATCTGGCAAAAATATTATCATGAACAAAAAATCATTTTACTTAGAATAGGGTAAGGACCTGTAACCCAATTGACATATCACGAAGTTTGACTTCGAGAAAAAACCCACTAATTCTGACTCCCCTCTAAAATAAATGAAATAACAGTATACATGTTTTGAATTCTTGCTTTTATGCTTTGTATAGAGTACGTATGAAGAACTGGATGCACAGGTACAAGAATTCACCCTCGACCTGTTAAACCAATGTCGAACCTCGGGAGAAGTGCAGTCTCTTCTAGACTCGCCTGAAGGAACCGAAAAGTCGTTAAGCGATAGTTTTCCTATACTGCAAGTCGCTCTTCGAATGGAACAGAAAAAGGTAAAGTGTATCTGAAAATTTTAAATGAAAAATGTTGTGTTAATTTGTGTTTTAAAAGGATTTAGATACATGTATATTGGATTGAATTTTCAGTTTGTTTCGCACCCGAAATGCCAGGCTCAGGTATCAGCTGTGTGGTTCAGTGGTCTTAAAGGTATGCGGCATTTGAATCGGTTCGAATTCCTGTTGTTGTCAATTCCTGCTGGAATGTTGCTATTGCCCATCCTGTCCTTAGTTTTTATCCTCGCACCGTGGAGCAAGGTATGACAGTATTCAAATACATTTATCAAAGTTTTAATATTATATCTGGAGCAGTCAATTCTCCATGTGACATTTCATTCTTTTGTCCATTGAATCCGTCAACAAAAAGTTTGTTTAAAATAGTCAATGACCAAAACTTACATGTTACAGCTGTTCATTATTTCGACTATCAATACGCATTACACAATTTTTTGAGATAACAAAAGGATCAATCTTATATGAAAGATATCTAAATCTATCTGAAGCATGCATGATGATTTTGTATCTTTATGATAGATTCATCTTGAGACTTTTAATTAATTTTGTTTTATGTCGATAAAAATCCAACAATATTAAAATGTGTTTCACCAACGTTTTAAAAATCAATGAATTTATAAAAAATCCATCAATAACGAGAAAAAAAGCACATTAACATGAAAATATTCGTTTAGCTTCTCAGAATCATTTGGTTTCCATGGTCACAAGGTCTTCTCCATTTCAATAAGACCTGGTAATCTCAGGTGACCTTTAACTTTACCATTACTTAACACTCCCTCAACATGCTTCCCTGGTTATCCAAACTTTGGCCACATTCCTTCAGGTGATACTCTTGCTGAACACCCCTTCACAAATAACCAAAGTTTTGTTAACTTTCCTTCAGGTCCCAAGGTGACACTACTACTAAACATTCACTCCATACAGTTCTTCAGTTAACAAAACTTCTGTTTATTTTCCTCATAGTGACAGTGTTGTCGATCATGCATAACCACTCCATCCACTGACATCCTCAGTTAACCAAACTTATGTTTAAAACATGCAACAGGTGGCATTTCTGCTGAACCATTAATCAAAAAAAGTCAACAAAAACTTTTGTTAGCATTCCTAGACACTAGTCTGAATCCTTCTGCATGCTTTTTCAGTTAATAAAAATTTGGTTGATATACTTGCTGAACACCCGCTCTACACACTTTCTCAGTTTACCAAACTTTGTTAACATTCCTCTTGGTGGCCTTCTAAAATTCCTTCCACATGCTTCCTCAACATTCTTTCAGGTGACCCGTTTGTTCT